TTCCTAAGGCTTTTCTTTTCTTTCTTTTTTTTTTTTTTTTTTTGTGGCACTTGAACTCAGCTTACACCTTGAGCCACTCCACCAGCCCTTTTTTTTTTGTGATAGTTTTTTTGAGATAAGGTCTTTTGAACTATTTGCCTGGGCTGGCTTCAAACCACGATCCTCCTGATCTCTGCCTCCTGAGTAGCTAGGATTACCGGCATGAACCACTGGGTCCCGGCTCTAAAGCTTTTTATTATAAAATATACCGAAGCTACATCAGGCACATGTAACACATATTGTTTAAAGAATAAAAATAAAACACACTCCTGTGCTTAAGGAATGAGACATTACTGCCACCTGCTGTTGTAAATAAAAGTTTTATTGGCATCAGCTACACCTGCTCATCCACACTGTACTCTTCTGTGGTTGCCAAGGAGACCAGATGGCCATCGAACCACATGCCATGCATTTGGTTTTTTTTGTTTGTTTGTTTTTTTCCAGTACTAGGGTTTGAACTCAGGGTCTACATCTGGAGCCACTCCACCAGCCCTTTTTGTGATGAGCTTTTTCGAGATAGGGTCTTGTGAACTATTTGCCTGGGCTGGCTTCAAACCACGATCCTCCTGATCTCTGCCTCCTGAGTAGTTATTTGGCCCTTTACAAAAAGTGTGCTTCCTGCAGAACACTTTTTGGTGAGGGACAGCCGATGGCAAGACTGCCACCTTCCCACCAGCGGGCCGACGTTTTGGGAACATGCTTTTAGTACTTTATATATCAGTGTTAGCTGTTTCTGGTAGAAGTGTCAATCTAATCACTAAGATGGTGCATTGCTAGAAATGGAATACCAGAGTTTATATTGAGCTAGAGTGAACTTAAAATGTGAGGCAATAAAGACCTCAGGAAGTTTCCTATGCAAAAATTCTGGGGCTGGGCATGCAGCTCAGTGGCAAAGTGCTTGCCTAGCATGCACAGGCCCTGGGTTCCATTCCTAGCACTAGGAAAAAAAAATGTGGCTGGAGACTTGGTTGAAGTGGTAGAGCACCTGTCTCCCAAGCCCCAAAATCCTGAGTTCAAACCCCCAAATAGCCAAAACAAAAACCCAATTATAAATATAAATTTGTCATCATTGGAGGTGTGGCTCAAGTAGTAGAGTGCCTGCTTTGTAAGCGTGAAGCCCTGAGTTCAAATCCCTCCCCGCCCAAAAAAAGAAAATAAGAATTTGTTTAAAAACAGAAGATAGGAGAAAATAAAATAAAAGAATAAGTTTGCTCAATACAAATTAAGACATCAGAAAAAAGCACTAATATGAGAGCATTCAGAAGACATGGAAGTGTGTCAAAGCACCAACAAAATCATAGGCTTTCAGACTGAAGTGCATAAAAAGCCAGATACACACGGAACTTTCTTTTCTTTCCCTCCCTCTCCTTTCTTTTCATGAGGTCTCAGCATATGGTCAGGCTGGACTTGAATTCATGACCTCCTGCCTCAGCCTCCTGAGTGCTGGGATTACACGATGTGAAACTGTACTTGCCTTTTTCCCCTTTTTCTTTTTCTTTTTTGTGGTGCTGGGGGTAGAACTGAGGGTCTCACACACACTAGGCAAGTGTCCCACTGGTGCGTTACATCCCCAACTGCTGGCACTAGATTTTCTACAGTCAAACACAAACTAAAACAAGACAGAGACAGCAACCTAATGTCAGACAAAACGTTTCCTGGTGAAAAACAACACAAAAGTCTGAGGGACTGCTACACCTCAGAAAAGGGAAGAAGACAAAAAAAAGCCTAAACACAAGCTGGGTGCAGGTGGCTCAGCTTGTAATCCTAGCTACTCAGGAGGCAGAGATCAGGAGGATCACAGTTTGAAGTCAGCCCTGGCAAACAGTTCACAAGACTCTTGAGAAAAACCTTCACACACACAAAAAGCTCATGGAGTAGGCCCTGAGTTCCAGTACCAGAAAGAAGAAGAAGAAGAAGAAAAAGCCTAAACACATACATACCTATCAATGTACCTCAAAAGACAAAAAGCAAAGAAACAAGAAAACAGATAAGTCATTAATTATAGCTGAAGAACTAGTATCTCTCTCAGAAGAATTAACCCTGGAGTAATTTTAGTCCCTGACTAGAATGTAAAAGTATTAGAAATTTCTAATAGACCAGTTACAAGGGAAAAAGGACTCAGGCTGAATTGTGGTGTAAGGGAATAACAAAGGAAACATTTTCTGTCCAAGTCGTGAGAGCTTGTCACCCAGCAATCCCGGAGGATATGCGTTTTTTTTAGCTACAGTTATCAGAACACAAGACAGATTTGTGCAGTGAAGAGGTCATCACAAAGCTAGCATTCTCTTACTGTTCCTGTAAGTCACCCCAAACCGAGAGAGTATGAAAATAAAAAATCAACTTCATTTTCATTAACAGTAAGCGCTCAAACTCTGACATCAGGGGTGAGGATGGGGGATGGTCGAAGGCAACGGGAAGAAACATGGCTAAGTGTGGAAGGCCACAGGAGCATGCAGGATGAGGGCATCCAGACTGCAGAAACATGGCTGGGAAAGTGCCTGCCTGACCTTGCTTCGTTCTGGGCAGAGAGGAGGGCAAGTGAGGCCAGAGCCTGCAGGCCTGGGCATTTGCAGAACCAGTATGACTATGGGATGGGGAACCAGCTATGTAGAGTGTCTTTCTTTTTTGGCTGTACTGGGGTTTGAACTCAGGGCCTCAGGCTTGGGGAAGCACAAATAGGAGGATTGTGGTTCAGGCTGGCCTGGGCATAAAGTGAGATCCTATCTCAAAAACAACCAACTTGAAAAAGGCTGGAGGCGTGGCTTAAGTGGTGGAGCGCCTGCCTTGCAAGTGTAAGGCCTTGAGTTCAATACTCAATACCACAAAAAGCCAAAATTTAGATTGTTGCAGTTGTGTTCTTTGACAATTAGAATGGAAGTTCAGTGAATCCTAAGGTTTCCTAAGAAAACTAACAATAGAGTTTCTGGGGGAGGGACTTGGCTTGCCAGACAAGCTGAGTCTAAAGATCATTTGGAAAAAAATAAACAAGTACGACCAGGAAAATTCTGAGAAAGAAATGCAAAAAGGAGATGAGGAAGGGTGATAATTCAAATGATATGGCATTGTCTGTGAACACACCAAGAGATCGGTGGAGTGGGACAGACAGTCTGGATCCATGCACAGCTGGAAAACTCAGCATGGCAGTGAAGGTGGGGTTTCAACAAGCAGGAAATGTGGGCTGTTTGGACCACTGGTGTGGCGACACCTCCATCGCCATCTGTGGTTCCCACTTCACACACAGGCATGAGAAATTCCCAGTGGATCATGGAATAAAAAAATACATGCACAAAGGGCTGGTGGAGTGGCTCAATTGATAGAGCGCATGCCTAGCAAGTGTGAGGCCCTGAGTTCAAACCCCAGTACTACAAAAAAAGAAAAAAAAAAGAAAGAAAAACATGCATGAGAAAAACAAAAACAAGCAGTATATAAGAAAGGTCAAAGCCGTGGGAAACTTGGGGAATTCACTTTGCCTTAGAAGTCCTCATTTCCATCATACACAGTGAGCTCCGGCAGATCAGTAAGACAACCTAATGTGCAAACCAGCAGAGAGTGAAAAGATGCACACTTCTACTAGAAATAACAATGAAAACGACAGCTATGAGACTGGCGAAGACTAGTGTTTGGAACACTGTGGAGAGGTCTGGAGAAAGTAGCACTCTCAATGCTGCTGAGTCCAAGTGAGGATGATACCTGCCAAAGTGAGAAATACAGCACCTCTTTCTTTTTCTTTCTTCCCTTCTCTTTCCCTCCCTTCCTCCCTCTCTCTCTCTCTCTCTCAGTGCTAAGCAAGCACTTACTGCTGAGGCTATATCTCCAGACACACAGCCACCATTATCTTTTTTTTCTGCAGCACTGAGGTTTGAACTTAGGGCCTCACGCTTGCTAGTCAGGTGCCTCTACCACCTAAGCTACTCCACCAGCCCATTTTTGTGATGGGTATTTTCAACATAGGGTTTCACAAACTACTTGCCTGGGCTGGCTTTGAACCATGATCCTCCTGATCTCTGCCTCCTGAGTAGCTAGGATTACAGGTGTGAACCGCCAGCGCCTGGCATCTTTTTTTTTTTTTTTGAGATAAGATCTTGCTATGTTGCCCAGGCTGCCTCTTCAGGAGTTTGCTCCTGGGCTCGAGCAATCGTCCTGCTTAGTCTCCTAAGTACCGGGAACTACAGGTGTGCCGCCACTGCACCCAGTTCAGACTTCTCACGTGTGTACGTATCATATGCTCACTATAGCACACATATAAGGCTACTCAGTATCACATGAGCTCTAATAGCCGAGGACTGGAAATGACTTAAGTACCTGCATGGACCTGTACGCACCTATGTGATGGAATGACCAGTGCCTGTGGGTTAAGTACATGCTCTAGGACAGACACCATTGGACAGCAGTTCATGACCCACATTTGGCATGTCTGAATGCTGTTTGAAATGGCCTTTTCTCCCTTTACCTTTCTTGGTGCATGTTGTCTCATGTAGTTCCTCCAAAAGTAAATACTTCAAACAGATTTTCCTGAAAAGTTTATGATGACCAACAGCATGTGACAGAGCTGAAGGCATGTGACTTAGGGACAAAGAAGCCTCAGGCAGTATAGCCAGACAAGGTCATGGCCTCTGTAAGCTCCTCTGCCTTGTGGACTGAACACATCCGAGAGCTGCTGGTCTCTTCTAGAGTAGCAGGGCTGTCCAAGCTGCATCCACTCCTTGTGCAGAAGTCGATTCCGTTCTAATGTGCGCCATGTGGTTCTGTGCTGGACATGGTTTCTGACCTGCAGGACTTTGTGCTGTATGGTATGGGAAATGCTCAAGCTATGAATGAGAGGAAGAAGGCCAATTTCCTGAAGCTTAGGAAATTGAAAGAGTGAAAGAATGCAGTGTGCTGATTGGAGAGTGGTGGCCACGCTGTCCCTAGCTATTACCCTGCTGTGTGGGCAGCAGCCTGGGCAGGCAACTCTCTCCTACCTGGAATGGAATCATCCTGGGAAGGGAGGCCAGAAGGGCTGGACCCCAGGTCCAGTAACTGCCAGGTCTCCTGGAGAGAATTGCTGGCAAGCGATGATGATCTGTGGGCATGGTGACTGTTCTCCTCAGTGACTTCTTGAGCCTGGGGTGGCTTTGGGAACCTGTTTTCTTTCTCATGAGTTGATTTGCAAGTCACAGCAGGGATCTTGTGCTGCCTCTATAAACGTTAGGAAAGACATAGTCATCCTAGATAACCACCCTCTCCCCAGCCCAGGGACGCCACAGCCTCCCCTCCCTTACTCCCTTGGGGACAGGCCACTAGGGACAGTCCTAGAGACTAGGAGAGCAGGCCAAGTGCTCTGTACCATAGTACATTGGCAGTGCTGATGTCACACAGCTCCTCCAAGCATTTGAAGGCTGAAGTGAGTCTAGGACAGAAGTACCAGGCATAGACTCTGAAGGCTGCCTTTTTAGCCACCTACAGCAGAAGGGCCACTGTTGGACAGAGTGCACTTCAGGTGTGTGTGTCCACTTACTCCATTAGTCTAAATGAGGCACCTGGCAACTAACCCATGTTAGTTGAGAGCAGTGGCTTTCAACTCTCTTCTGAGATACTCACTGTGCTCAGATTCCCACAATACCCACACTCAAGAGTGTGCAAAGACTTGGCACTGATGTGCCTGATTGCACCCCAGCTTCTGTTGCACCACAGCTTCACCCCAGATCTTGCAGCACCCCAGCTCCTGACTATACCTGAGTGGGTCTTGCTGCAGCACCTGCCTTAGGGCCTCTGATGATTGTCTGTGCTGAGTGGGATTCATTCTTTCCAGCATATTCAGAAAAGCACTTTTTCTTGGTGTGCTTTGGGTCCTGTTGTGAAATTACAAGAGTTCATGTATTATGGACGGCATATGTCATTGAGCTTTCCTATAAGAACAGGAAGACACAGTCCCCAGATCTCTGGTATTGGACTCTCTCTATTTGTAGGCCCAAAAGGAGGGACGTGCTTGCTACACCAGGCAGGGAAAACTCAGCAGGATTCCTTCAGTGGACCTATGTGCCTGTCACAATCTTCTGGGAAGGAAGGCTGTGAGCACCAGATGTCTGAACACCGAGCAGAGCCTTCTTCCCAAGGGCAGGCCTGCATGGAGCTGACCTGGGCAGACAAATGGGAGCCTCCTTGCAGGGCCCTGGCCTGGGGTTGGCAAGTTTTAAGAGTTACTTAACTAGATCTAATGAAGAAATGACAGTTTTGTAGTTGGGAAGAGATTAATAAAGCTTAATAACATATTTAATACATTAGGAAGAAGTGGAGGACAGATGTTCATTTGATGATTTGAGAAAGATTTCTTCTTAACAACACATATTTAGAAGCTTACTGATTAATGCAGACGACTTGAAAGTTGCAAAGAGTCTGAAGAAGCAAACTCCTTAATGACTCAAGAGCATTTCCCAGAGGTGGCAAAGGCATAGGGATTGTGTGCACGCGCACGTGCCTGCCCTGTGTGCACAAGGGGGATCTGGAGGGAAGGCGGGCAGGGAATAACCATTTCACCACATGCTGTGGTGCTTCAGCCTCACTAGTCTGCATTTCAGCCTCCTTTTTTGGGCTCCCTGTTCTCCTTCCTCCAACACATCCTTCCCAGTGCTCTCTGGGAAGCAAAGTTCTGCTGGGAAGTGCCCTGGGCCCACTGTCTCTGGCCAGCCATTCTCAGTTTCTTTTCTTACAGAATGATGGATATTCCATGGGCCTCAGTCCTTCCCCCAAGGCCCATTTCCTGGAGACCTCCACTGCCCCCCCATGTCCCCAGGTCTCCGTCCTTCAAGGCTTAAGACAATGGTTCCCCTTGGACTTTGCGCTCTGTGTGTGGCCTAAGGCTGGGTGCTGGCCAAGGACAGAAAAGGAGCACCTCAAACTCACCCCTCCTGCCGTCTCTGCCCCAGTGACTTCCCAGGTCCAACCCTTGATGTTCTTTCTCTCACATTCCAGGCTGACTCCAGATGAGTACCATTCAGGCCTGCAGCTGCTCATCCCACCTTCCAGTCCTGCTCCTGCCCCTGGACCTGAGACTAGAAGTCACAGTGGCTGGGAGCAAACTCACATGACCTCAGGGCAGACAGGCCATCTATCTCTACTTGGCACTCTTAATTTTAATTAATTTAATTAATTTATTTTTGTGGCACTGGGGTTTGAACTCAGGGTCTCATGCTTGCTAGCTTGCTAAGCAGGTACTCTATCACTTGAGCCCCTCCACCTTTTTATATAGGATATGTTTGTTGTACGAGGGGTGGGGGCGGGAATTGATCGTGACAATTCCGAATAGACTGACATTGTACAGTGGTTACATTGCCCCCACCATCCCCCCCCCAACCCTTTCCTGCCCCACTTAAAGCAGTTGCAGGAGATTTCATTGTTCTATTCATATAGGTATGTGAAGTCCATCATCCATATTCCCTCGCCTTAATCTCCTTCATCATCCTCTTCCCTCCCACAAGCACCCCCCCCACACCCTGTGCCTACTTTACAGTTTTCATTATTCATTTCTAAGTCGATGTTCAATGGGGTTTCTTAATGCACACCAGCTGTGAGAATACTTTACTTTGATCAGTTCAACCCCTTCCATTGCTCTCCCTTACCCCTTCCCTCCCATCCCCCGTTATTCAACAGCTTTCAGCACGTATTACATCCTCTACCTGAGCAGATGTTAAGTATTTCAATATTGCTAACACTCTTACCATTCCATTTTCCTTTCTCTCCCTCCCTGAGTTCCACAGTGTAGCTATACCATTATAAACATGTTCTACATGGGGTTTGAACTCAGGGCCCTCACCTTGAGCCACTCTGTCAACCCTTTTTTTGTGATGGGTTTTTTCAAGATAGGGTGTCTTGAACTATTTGCCCCGGGTGGCGTTGAACAGTGATCCTCCTGAGGAGCTAGGATTATAGGTGTGAGCCACAGGTACCCAACAAAGTTTGTTTTTGTGTAAATGTTTATCTCTTGGATCTATCTTCCACATATGGCATTCTTAATTTTTATTTACTTATTTTTGCTATTTACTTACTTTTTTTTTTTGGGTGGTACTGGGGTTTGAACTCAGGGCTTTGCATTTGCTAGGCAAGTGCTGTACTGCTTCAGCCATGCCTCCAGCCCTTTTTGCTCTAGTTATTTTGGATATAGTATCTGACTTTTATCCCCCATGCTAGCCTAGACCACGACCCTTCTATTTTAGGTTTCCCACTTTCGCTGGGATGACGGGCACATACCGCCCACCAGACCTTTTCTGTTACACACTTTTTTGCCAGGCTGGCCTGGAGCCTCAATCTTCCTGCGTAGCTTGGGATAACAGACACATGGCACCATGCCCAGCCACTGGCTGAGAAAGGAGGTCTTGCTAACTTTTTGTCCAGGCTGGCTTCAAACCATATTCCCCATGATTGCAGCCTCTCAGTAGCTAGGATAACAGGCGTGAGCCACCAGTGCTCGGCTACTTTTGTTTTTTAAGAAAGGGTTTTGCCCTGTAGTCCAGGCTGGCCTAGAATTCATAATTCTCCTGCCTTGCCTCCTGAGTGCTGGGATTACAGGCATGTACCACCATGTCTGGCTTAATTTATCTTAAATACACTGAAAAGTCAAATTCACTCTGAGATAATATATTGGCTCGGTATCAAGATTACATGAAAGTTACACACCCTTTAAAGAAGCACCGTGGCTCACGCCCATAATCCTGGGTACACAGGAGGCAGAGATCATGATGATCGCAGCTCAAAGCCAGCCTGGGCAAATAGTTCCTAAGACCCTATCTTGAAAAATCCCATCACAAAAAAAGCACTGTTGGAGTAGCTCAAGGTGAAGGCCCTGAGTTCAAACCCAGTACCACCTAAACAACAACAACAAAAAGCTGATTATTAGTTTAAAAACTAATCAGGCAAGGTGGAACACATCTGTAATCCCAGCACTAGGGGAGGCTGAGGCAAGAAATGGTGAGTTTGAGGCAGCCTGGGCTACATAATGAGATCCTGTCTCAAAAATAATAAAATAAAAATAAAATAAAATAGCCAGATGCTGGTGGCCCATGCCTGTAGTCATAGCTACTTGAGAGGCATATCAGGAGGATCAAAGTTTGAGGCCAGCCCCAACAACAAAAACAAGACCCTATTCAAAAATACCCAGTATGATGGCCGGCAGAATGGCTCAAGTGGTAGCGTACCTGCCTAGCAAGTATGAAGCCCTGAGTTCAAACCCCAGTATTACAAATGAACAAACAAACACAGCAGGTATAGTGGCTCAAACCTGTAATCTAGTCCTGCCCAGGCATAAATGTGAGACCCTATTCAAAAAATACGTAAAGGAGAAAGGGCTGGGGATGTGGCTTAAGTGGTAATAACAGAGTGCCTGCTAGCAAGTGCAAGGCCCTGAGTTAAACTCCAGTAGAACCCTCCCCAAAATAAAGTACTTAATAGCTTCAAAAACCACAGGAAACACATTGCAATGTTACTGATAACTATATTTAAATGCTGAAAAATGGAGGCTTTTTATATTTGTTATATTTTGAAGTGTCTGTAATGAAAGTGCAATATTTAAGCAGCTGGTAAGATGTTATTTAAAATGCATTTCTCAGGTGTGTTACCTGAGCTGTCCTGTGGGGCTGCACCTGTCCCAAAGGTGGATCATGCAAAGGCACTTCAGGCACCTCACTGGAGTCCTGGGTCTCAGGGGTAGGAGGAAGGGTCTGAGGAGATGGCTTCCCTGGAAAGAACAGCAGGGAAGGTTTGGTTCTCTATTTAAACAGCACTTCAGGATTTCTCTGTTGAAAACAAACACTCAAAAAAGAACAGCATGCTCCTTTTCAAAGCCAACTTCTCCAAAGAGAACTTGGGAGAGGGGTCGAGAGTAAACTGGATGACACCTATCAGTAGCCTGCAGAGATCAGCCACACACAGGACAGCTTGCCGCAGCTACATGGATCCCTGTCAGCAGAAATGGACATGTTTGTTAATAGGCCCAAAGACAGACACAAGTGACCAGGCATGGTGACATATGCCTGGGGTCCCAGCTACTTGGGAGGCTGAGCAGGTAGGATTACTTGAGCCTAAGAACTCACGGCCAGCCTGGGCATCATAGCCAAGCCCCATATCAAAAAAAAAAGTAAGAGGCAAAAACATACATACTTAAAAATTATGGCTGCACCCAGGCACCGGTGGCTCACACCTATAATCCTAGCTACTCAGGAGGCAGAGATCAGGAGGATCGTAGTTCGAAGCCAACTGAGCAAACAGTTCCCTATCTCAAAAAAACGCATCACAAAAAAAGGCATGGTGGAGTGGCTGCCTAGCAAGTGACAGGCCCCGAGTTCATACCAAAATACTGCCAAGAAAAGAAAAAACCCTAATACAGCTATGTAGCCAACACTGGCCTTGAACTCTTGCCCTTCCCATCTTAGTGTCCTGAGTGCTGGGATTACAGACATGGGCAGAGACATTGTTCAGGGTTCACTCGAGGGTTAGCGCACGCACACACACAGGAGCAATTACATGGCTTAGCTCTGGCCTGGGCCCCTGAGACGCCCCAAAATATCAGGTCTTCCTAAATAACAGGACATATGAGAAATCAACTTGGAACTGAATTTAAGAACTATGAAATCAGAAAATATACAAGTGGCCAAGAAGTCCATGAAGAATTCAACATCATTGGTCGGTCGTAGGGAGATGAGAAGTCAAAATCAAAATGAGACACCACTTCATGCTCACTAGGATGGCTAGAATCAAGGTAGAAGAAAACAGTGCCTGCTGCGGAGGGTTTAAAGAAACCAAACCCTGGTAGGAGAGTAAAATGGAGCAGCCACTGCAAAACAGTTCAGTGGCTCCTTAATAACTTCAGCACTGAATTGCCACGTGACCCAGCAATTACACTATTAGGTACAGACACAAAAGAAGTGAAAACACATATTCAAACAAAAACTTGAGTGGACCCTGGTAGCTCATGTCTGTAATCCTAGCTACTCAGGAGGCAGAAATCAGGAGGATGGTGGTTCAAAGCCAACCCGGGCAAAAGTAGTTTATAAGACCCCTATCTTGAAAAAAATCCATCACAGAAAAGGGCTGGTGGATTGGCTCAAGATATAGGCCATGAATTCAAACCTCAGTACCAAAAAACCCCCCAAAACATGAATGTGTATAGCAACAGGAGCCACAAAAGCTTAAAGGCAGAAAGGAATGCAAATGATTATCAGCTGATGAATGGATAAAAAAATGTGGTCTAGTTGAACCATAGAGCATTAAACTCAGCCATAAACAGGAATGTTCTACAACACAGATGGACATCAAAACATTACACTAAGTGGAAGAAGTTAGTCATATATTGTTTGATTCCATTTAAATGAAATGTATAGAAGGGCTAGGGAGGGGATGGAAGGTTGGTGCTAGTGGGATTCAGGGTTTCCTCTGAGGGGATGGGATCGTCTGGGTATGGAGGGTGGGGATGGTTTCACAATGCTGTTAACGGAACTGATGCCACCACAGTATCCATGAAATGTATTAAAATCTTGGCAATCTCAGTTTTGATGGGCTTGTTTCCTTGTCCTACTTTTTGCCTTCACTAAGATATGAAGGTTGTTCTTTGCCTTCTGAGGGACCTACCTGACAGCAAGGGTGCTGTGCTGACCATGCCGTGATCACTGCAGCAGCAAAGCATTCTGTACTTATGAAATAGCTCAGGCTCTCAGGGTTAGGTTTTCTCCTATGTTCATGTCTCATGCTTTATGGTCACTTTCACATGGGTAGCCAACTATTGTCTCTCTAGTACTAATAATTTTGAGTGTTCTAATCTCTTGACATCTTTTTTGTTTTCGGTGGTACTGGGGTTTGAACTCAGGGCCTCATGCTTGTTAGGGAGGTGCTCTACCACTTGAGCTATTCCTCTAGCTTTTTTTTGTGTAGGGTACTTTGTTTTGGGGTTTGAACTCAGGGCTTCATGTTTGCAAAGCTGACACTACCACTTGAGCCACACTGCCAGTCCATTTTACTCTGGGTAGTTTTTGGAGATGGGGGTCTCAAGAACTATTTGCCTGCACTGGCTTCAAACCACAATCTTCCTCATTGCAGCCTCCTAAGTAGCTGGGATTACAGGTATGAGCCACTGTGCCCAACTCGTCATGTCTTTTGACTTACTCCTTTCTCAAAGTTGAATTCCAAATGTAAAATGAAATAAAACAAAACTTTCAAGAGACTTTTGCATCTGAAACTATCTTTGAGATGTCCCAGGAAATGTATTAGACATAATTAGAGGCTGATCAGGTAGCACAAGTAGTGGAGTGTCTGTCCAGCAAGCACAAGGCCCTGAGTTCAAACCAGTGCTGGATGTGTGACTACTGACGCTCATGGGAGTAACTGCAAGCCAGAAGTGATGCGCAGCCCACCCAGGGAACACCTGCAGGTAGGGCATAGCCCATACGGGCTTTGAGCTGTGCCTAGCTGCATCCAGACTTCCCGGCTGTGTCAGGGCACTGGCTGCAACCATGTTTGTCTGCACCGGAGTCCTGAGAACACCTGCGTGGCCTAGTGTTATTAGACAGCAATGGCACAGAGCAGCCTGGCACAAGGATAGCTGCTGCTTCTGTTAACTTGTTGCCACCTCATTCCTCCAGCCTCCCACCAGCAGAAGCTTTCCCACTAGTCTGGAGATTTCTTTCAAGGCAGATGGCAGCACCCGTCCACACTTTTGCTTCTGACCTGAGTATTGGTAAATTCACAGACTACTAGGCTTCATCATTACCTTATCTCTCCTAATATTTTTCCTCTGTAAAAATGAGGCTCACCCAATCTTAAAAATTCAGAGTCCTTGAAAACAGGAGTGAATATCTTAGATGAAGCTTGAGTGAAACACTCCTGGATTTAGCCTCCATGCTTAGGACAGTCCTGTGGCACTTTTCTGCCAGGGAGGGGCAGGTCTCTCACTTTCAGAAGCATAAGGAACAGGTCTGTCTTGTCACCAGCCCCCTCCCCTCAAGCCTGGGGGTCAATCAGGAAGGGCACTTCATCTTCAGCCAAGACAGTTTCGAGCTCCTGGGACAGGACTGGGCAGCAGCTCTGGCTTCAGGCATTTGGTGGAGATTTTAACCCACTGAGAACGTCAGGGTCTCTGGAATGCTATTTGGGAAGTAGGTGGAATGTGGGGCCAAGAACAAAGATGGGGCAGACAGAACTAAGGCAGGACTGGATGGAATGAGGGGGTGATGGCAGCGTTTGTCTGGATGTCCTCGATGTCCTTTTATGTACTTATAATTCTGTATGCGTGTGTGGAGCTAGCTGGGGATGAAGCCAAGGCCCTGCACACGCTAGGTGAGTCTCCCATCACATCACGCTGCAGCCCCTTGGTGTCCTCCTCCCTCCTCCCACCCTCGCTCCGTTTTTTCTTTTTTTTGTCTCGCTATACAGCCCAGGCTGGCCTCAAACTTGTCCTCCTGCCTCATTCTCCTGAGTGCTGGGTTTACAGGCCTGTACCACCATGTCAGCTAGTGCCCTAATTTCTAGATATGTAAGGAAGCCCTTCCTCTTCCCTCTGAAGTTACCTGTACTCCATAAACATTAGTAGTCTGCTTCTGTAAACTGAAACATTTCTAAGTGATAACTATCCTCCAGAGGATTCACACTTCTTTTTTTTTTTTTTTTTTTTTGATGGTACTGGGGTTTGAACTCAGGGCCTACACCTTGAGCCACTCTACCAGTCCTTTTTTCATGAATGGTTTTCTTTTTGAGATAGGGTCTCTTGAACTATTTCCCCAGGCTGGCTTCAAACTGAGATCTTCCTGATCTTTGCCTCCTGAGTAGCTAGGATTCCAGGCATGAGCAACTGGTGCCCTTTTCAAGGTTAATACAGCTATCTGCCTAAGTTCAGTGAGAGTTTGAATGGAAATGCTGAATACATAACCTCCACGCAGGGCTACCATTACGAATGGAGCTGTCTAGTCAGCCCCAAGCAGCTACTGGGAGAAGCCAGCGAGGAGCTAGCCACACAGCTTGCCCAGGCAGGTGAGTTGGGAAGACCATGTCCTGAAGAGTCTGAGATCTTTGGATATTTTGGACCGCTTGAGAAGAAAGGAATTTGCTCACATTTACAGAGCAAGAGAAACCTTTGGAGTTCTTGTTTAGCTTTGGAGCTTCAAAGGAGACACTCTAAGAGAGGAGCTGGCATGGTGTGGTTCAGTGGTACAGTGCCTGCCTAGCATGCATAAGGCCCTGGGTTCAATCCCCAGCACTGCCAAAAAAAAAAAAAGAGAGAGAGAGAGAGGGAGAGAAAGAGAGAGAGAGAAAAGTCCAAGTTGAGCCATAAAGTATGAAGGCAGGCATGGTGGTACCACCTGTAAACCTAGCTGAGGCAGAAGAATCTTGAGTTCAAGGCCACGATGGGCTACCAAGCAAGTTACTACACAGCCTGGGCTACACAGTAAGACTGTCTCAAGAGAAAAAAAAAAAGAAGTTGCTTATGGAAACTTCCAGCAAACTGAGAGGGCCAACGTGGTGAGCCGGCATCTCACCGTGGCCCTGGAAATCAGCAAGCCATCTGTGACAGGACCAGCCTTGTGTTGTGATCCATGGGTAAGCTTTGAGGTCGTTTTCTGCACAAAGCAGGGAACTACAGAGAAGTGGGAAGTGCTGGCTCTGCACCTTCGTCCCAGCGCCTATGAGGGGCCTACCACCCAGGAGAATTAGGGTTGGGGACTCATCCTCTCTTTTGGGCTCTTGTCTTTT